ATAGGCATAGTATCAAATAAAGATTAGATTTTGGTAAGTGCTGTGAAGGAAATAAACATTGTGGAAAGAGGGATGAAGAATGAATTACTAGGGGAGGCTGTTAAGAATGTCACCAGGATGAGTGTAGTCTTAGTAGGTGACATTTGAGGTAGTACTTGGAAAACGAGAAGGAGCCAGCCATGGGAAGGGAGCTTCAGAAAGCACATTTCGGGCAGATGATGTAGATGATGTACCACGCGTCAAGTCTGAGGGGGAAAAGGGCTTGGCCGGTCCAATCAGAAAGAGGCCAGTGTAGTTGGTGTATGTAAGAAAGGTATTCAGAGGAGGCAGGCAGGAGCCACCACAGGCAAGGTCCTCCTGTAAGCCAATGCAAGCTGTGTGTTTTTTCTTCTGAAAGCAGCAGGAGGCCACCTTAAACAGGAGTGAGGTATACCTTAGAGGAGATTGTCTGCATGCCTTTGCTTAAACATTGTGTTATTGTGGTAATTTCAAGTAAGCGTATATTTACAGATTTTAATGTACAATAATTTAGTATATAATTGTATTTGATTTGCCCCTCAGTGTTTTATATAGCATGGTATTTGATTGTATTATTAATTTTTGAGATACTTTATTTACTTTTAAAGTCAGTAGTAAACTTTTAATACCTAGAAGTAGCTCTATAATGTTACTTTCATTTATTAAGAAAAGAAACAAGACTGCATAAATATCCACAAATGAAGAGATTGGTGGAATTAGAGGTTCTGTAGAACAAACTGAAAATTCATTTCAGTAGTCTTCGTGAAATGAACAACAAAAAGCTGTCCTATTAAAATAAATTCCTTCTAGAATCCTGATGCTCATAGTCATTAAACACTTATTTGTGTTTCTCAGTCAGATGTCACTGTCATAAGGCCGTATTACATTACAATACCTAATAAAGTTGATTTGTGTACACTCTGATAGAATTTGAGCTTTTAGTTAATGCTTGAATGATTTTAGCAGTCTCTTAACATTGCTCGGTACCCTTGAACTTGCTTCTTTTTTATATCCTGGCCTGTTCCTGAGATGATTATATTTCAGGTCTACATTTTACCTATAAATTTGAGAATTCTTCATCTGATACTCTAATTAAGGAAATATATTGTGTAAGTTTGACCTTTTGATTTGTCTCCTATCCTCATTGTCTTTAAGGAAGATTAGATGTAGTTTATGTGCTTAGGCCTCAAATATTTGATTCAGCCTAAAGATGGGTCAAATTTTCACCTATTTTAAATAAAATTCAGAGATGTGGAGAATCATTTTCATGACTTGTCAGAGAAATAATTTGCCATCACGACTCCTTTTTCTTCTCCAATTTACCCTCTTTATTCACTGTTACCAGGTCTTTTCACAGTTAGAAATTTATCTCTCATTGTCATGAATTTCAACTTAGAACTTTATATACTAACTTGTGCTCTTTCTAAAAGGGCAAGCTAGACATTTAAATTTTAGAATGGCATGGTATTAGAAGCCATAAATCACGCAGAAACTTTTTAAAATGCTGTATTTCGTTCAGTTTGGGTCCATCAGTGACACATCTTAAAGTTTGAATATTGGAAAACTGGGAGTCAAAAGAGAAAGAATAAATGATTACAGTTCTATGCAAAAATGTTCAAGTATGAGGATTTTTTTGTTTCATGCAGAGGGGCCAAGTGTGACTTAAATATCTTTGTGATCATCAATATGTTAACAAATAATGTTGACAGAATTTCCTTTGGCTCTCAAGAAGTCAGAAAAAAGGTAATTGATTTAAAATTAAAGGAATTACATTTGGGGTTATCAGATATGATTTGGGGCTATAGAGTAAGGAAGATTTTGCTGCTGTTATTTATTGACATTAAATGGGGAGCAAATCAAATAATTAGACTCCATGGTCAGCCTTGTGTTAGAAAGCTGTGGTTAATGGAAAATGTCTCTCAGTTGGCGTAGGACCCTCTTTACTACTATAAATCAATCTTATGAGGTCAGATGTGTGTGGCGGAGTGGGGTAATTTAGGTTCTTGCTTTGCCTGATACCTATGGGGCCATTATGGTGATCTGCCAGAACAGGTGCTCTACCCATGCAGAATCGTGAGGGTAGAGGACATGCAGTCCACAGCTTTCAGTCAAGTTCGGTGTTCTTTCTGTGGCTGTTTAATACCATTTAAGTACTCTGGTGCTTTATAGCTTAAGTTAAATCTGTGGCCAACTTTCTAACTTTAATTCGATTTAGTACATCAGCGGTGAATCTGAGACAAATTAATTCTCATTGCCTACTGATTGCTTATAATATTCATCTGTTCATAATCTTTTTTTACCTTTCAGGTGGTAGGAATGATTGGAAGTTATCTTCCAAAGCTGCCTGCCTACTACAATGTGGTTTAGGCTTTTCTGTGTTTGTTTATTTTAATTATGTATTTGGTTTTTAGAATTATGAAATCGTGGGATTCTGCTGCTTTTTCTGAGCTGCTAGTACTGGAAAATTCCATCATTTTCCATGTTCTCATGTATAATAACCCTTATCAGTACTATCTTTAATGCATCGAAACAGTTATTAGATGCAGGGGTGGAAGGAGTTAGGGGAGGGTCCATGGCGTCGCCATCTCACTCTGGCGCCATCCTCCCAGCCAAGATTCTAATATTCTACCTGTCTATACTGTACATACCTGTTACAGGCCACACTGTTCTTTACTTTTTATTTTTTTTCTTAGAATCCTTTGTCTTTCTGTGTCTATTCATTCTTTCCATCCCTTCAAAGATGATACATTCTTCACCCTCTAACTCATTTATACCTCCTTTATGTCTACCACAGCCCAGTGTTTTATATATATATATATATATATATTTTTTTTTTAATGTATTTCTACTGATCCTTTTCCAGCCTTTGCTTATTTGCTACATCTAGGAGATATATATTTTAAAACATTATTATGTTAAACGTCTTACAGAAATCTTGATTTGTCAGCTAAATTGTAATTCCTATGAAGGCAGGGATTCTCTCTCATTTTTCATGTGTCTGCCATTTAACCCAGTGCTAACTAAGCACATAATAGGAATGCAGTATTTATTAGTAGTATGATTGTAGTTAATAAAGTTGGTGGAGTATTTTCATTGCATTGAGTGTTCTTGGAATTTAAATATGAGTATTTTTTCTTACTTCCCTTAAGATTACATTTTGACAATGTAAGATGTATTTTTGAATAACTGAGGTCTGTGTTCACACATTCTTATTGGATGGGAGGTTCCATTAAAGAATGCTCAATTACCTGCATGTTCTTTGAATAGGAGCAACTGTCTGTAATATGAGACTCTATAGGATTTTAAATATTGCGAGGACAGTCTCTACCAGGCTCTGAAAAATGACTTGTGTGTGAAGATGGAGGGAAAGACTGGGTTTTAAAATATTGAAAAGTCACTAACCAATACCCCAATGGGTGCTGCTAATATACAAAATATAAATAATAAGGAGATATTCTTATTTTTCTATTTGAATTCTCTTATTCTGAGTTAATAAACAGTTGGGTGCTGCATACAGAAGTTCAGAGGGCAATGTTAGGTATAGATGGTGAAGTACAATTTATTACAAATAGATCAGAGTTAAGTTCCTTTTCCATAAGGCATTAACTGTTGCCTTTGGCTATCTTACTTAAACCCTCTAAGTCTTAGTTTCTTCACTTATGAAATGGAGACAGTAAAAACCTATGTCAGAAGATCAGAGCAAGGGCTAGAAAAGACAGAAGAGCATCTGATGCACCAAGCACGTTATGTGGCGTCTGACACAAACAAATTATCTTTTGCTACTTTTCTCCCCATCTCCTTCATTTTAGGTACACGTTACTTCATTCTTATTTAATTTGTTTGCCCTCATGATGTATCATAGACCTCTTGATACTTGTCAGAAAGTCACTCTTAAATTATTTAACAATGATCCATTGGGAATCTGGAGTTTGAAAAAAGGTGTTGTCAAGAATATAACAGCATTTTTCAGAAAATTTGTGTTTTCTTTGTTTCACTTCAAAGTAGTAAATTTGAAAAAGTATTGAAAAAAAAATTTTTTTTTTTCAACGTTTATTTATTTTTGGGACAGAGAGAGATAGAGCATGAATGGGGGAGGGGCAGAGAGAGAGGGAGACACAGAATCGGAAACAGGCTCCAGGCTCTGAGCCATCAGCCCAGAGCCTGACGCGGGGCCCGAACTCACGGACCGCGAGATCGTGACCTGGCTGAAGTCGGACGCTTAACTGACTGCGCCACCCAGGCGCCCCTGAAAAAATTTTTAATATTAACCTTAAGAAATTAAGACTTGCTGCTAGTTGGAGGTATCATATAGTTTTCTGAAATCAGTCAAAAGATCTCTAGGTGAATGAAAAAATTTGCTACCTTAACAAGGACAGTAGTATAACAATAAAACCATTTTAACCAGGCTCTTTGGGGAATAGAGTTTTCTGGCTAAAAACTCCCTTTGTTTCAACCCTTTACATCAATGTTTACAAGTATAATGGTTTAATTTTCTGCCTTCGAGAAATGTATGTATAGAATATAGGAGCGTCTTTGTTTATAGACAAGGATCTTTCATTCTTCATTCTAAATAACAGTTATTATAGGATGGCAGTGTGGATGACCTTATTATAAGTAGGAGATTAGGGTGAAAGTAATCCCAGGGGGTACTATAAAAAGTTACCAACCCTCCTGCACTTCCTCTCCCCTCAAGTCCCAAATACCAGTTTTGCTTTAGTTTCATATCCCACCTCTTCTGAATGTTTTCTAACAAATTGTGATTTTAGTTTCTTAAAACTTCACATTATTAAGGGAGACTTGAGAGATTATTTTGTCTAGCACCCTCATTTCATAGATTAAAAAGCTGAGGTGTAGGTTGATTGACTTGCTCAAGGATACTAAGCGGATTCACTAAAAGAAAAAAGGTTCAGTTTTCCTCATTAAACTGACACTTTAATAGTGTCCCAAATTTTGGTGGTTATCTTTGATCTTCTTTGAAACAGGTAGATCGACACTTGAGAAAGCTGGATCAGGAACTGGCTAAGTTTAAGATGGAGCTGGAAGCTGATAATGCTGGAATTACAGAAATATTAGAGAGGCGTAAGTAAAATTTACAGTTTTCCATCAATGTCGGACAGTCCATGTGCGAATCACTAAGGAGACACTTATCCCACGGGGACTTCTCAGATCCCGTGCTTCTGTGGATGGTGGCACCTGGGTCGGACAGGCGTGGACTCTAGCAGTTAGAACATTTGGGTTATGGATGCTGAGAGAGAGGATACAGGATATCATACACTCTCTCTTTATTAAAATCACATATTAAGTCATTCCATTTTTTTTTTTTAATTTTTTTTTTATAAAATTTTTTTTTTTCAACGTTTATTTATTTTTGGGACAGAGAGAGACAGAGCATGAACGGGCGAGGGGCAGAGAGAGAGGGAGACACAGAATCGGAAACAGGCTCCAGGCTCTGAGCCATCAGCCCAGAGACCGACGCGGGGCTCGAACTCACGGACCGCGAGATCGCGACCTGGCTGAAGTCGGACGCTTAACCGACTGCGTCACCCAGGCGCCCCAGTCATTCCATTTTTTAATATGCATATATATATTAGTAAGTTGAGGGGTAAGACCAAAGATTTAAAGAAATAGAACCATCTAGATACAGGTTAACCATCTGTCTTTAAATGTATTGACTTTGCCCTGCCTATTGGATACACTTTAACTTTGAGGAAAATTTTTCTTTTTTCTTCCTAAGAACTGCCTTAAGGTTTTTTCCCTCAGTAAGAAAGATTTTAATTAGTTCCAAAACACTTCCTCTCTTTCTCAAGTAAGTCCTTCTTAAACTTTTTCTTATTCATAAGAAGCCATTTTAATATATCTTTGCAAGGTTTGACTTGATCTCCTGCTATAATTTACCTGTTTATTACTTTTTTTTTTCTTGGTTCATTTCAACAGCAAGAACATGTACCTATTTCTACACACTGATGAAAAATTTATTTATGGTATTAGGTGATGTGTTTATATATGTATGTATGTATACATGTATGTATGTATATATATTATACACACACACACACACACACACTCTCTCTCTCTCTCTCTCTTTCATACACATGCTCCCTAGAACAGGGAAACAACCAATCATGAATCCATCTTGGTATCCGTAGTGCATTTTTGTATTCAAAAGTAGATCTGTCACTTTAGATGATCGTCTGATTTATTTCTGATACTTTTATTCCAAGGAAATCCTATTTGAGAATTGTATTTTGAGACAAAATAAAATATAACTGCTCTAATTTTTGTTTGAAATGCTGACAGTAGCTGTGAATAACAGTAATTCATGCCTGTTCAGTACTGCAGGAAGGTTAATTATGCATCCTCTGTAAGGACACAGACATATGGAACTAAACCAGATCAAGTTCTAAAATCTGCTCCACCCTGTGCCCTGCCATAATTTCATCTCAAGGGATCAAGATAAACCCAGAATATTTCTTTAAAAGCATGTTAATGCTTGGCAGTAGAGATTCTGTGCCTAACTTCTTTCAGGAAGTCTTTACTATCATGTGTCATTTTAATGATCAAAGAATTTTCTTTCATGTACTAATGCCCCATCACCTAATACTGTAGGATCTCCCGTTGAAAGGTCTTCTTCAATCCAGGATAATTAGTTTGAGTTTTTCAGATCTTATCGGTAATGGACTTGTGATATCCATTCATCCACTTATGTGGTACCCACTGTCCTGAATTCCCCAATTAGACATTAGCATGCCTTGAGCTGTTTTGTACTTAAGGTGAATATTAAGAAGTGGATTATGTATTGTTTAGAGGGAGGATGAAATTGGCTCAGGGTGAAACTGGAAGTGGTGATTCTCTAATGTGCTTAACTAAAATGATACAGGCGTATGCATAGAACTTGCCAGTCCTTTGCTGGGTAAGGGTACATAGTGCCTTTAGTTGATTGACCTGTAAATTTTTGTGTTGACATTTAATGGAGTTGTATCTCTGTGCCTTTTTTTTAGGATCTTTGGAATTAGATACTCCCTCACAGCCAGTGAACAATCACCATGCTCATTCACATACTCCAGTGGAAAGTAAGTTTGGTTTAGGGCAGCTAAAATTAAAAACTTATTATATTACCTGTATATTCTTTTTAACTGGCTCTATGCCATCAATTGAGGGGGGGAAAAATTCCCTTCCTTTTCTTTTGTGAGATCTATTTTTTCATTATAGTTCCTGGTGAACTTACCTTCTTCATTTGGGAAAAAAGTATATTTGATTTGGGAGTAGAGAGTTTGCTTTTCCTGGAATACTTGGAGGACAAATGTATGGTATTAATAGCAGTATATACTTCCATATGCAGACACCTGACTCTCTCTAGAGAGTGTTAAAACCCAAGGCAAGTGATAACTACTTGATGGTAGGCTCTTTGTTTTTGTTGTTTTGTTTTGTTTTTCATCCTTGCTTGTCCAGTGCTTAGCCTACTTTGGCATATAAGAAGGTCTCAAATGATTGGTGGGCTAGTGAGTAAATGAATGCTTGGTTGGATGTTAGCTTGCTAGAAGACTGTATCAGTGCATTTTGTGACAGATCAATTTGAATGAAAGAAGGGTTGACTGAAAACTGTTCAAAATTGTAGAGTTTTGAAAACAAAGTTCCTCTCATGTTATATGTGAAACCATGGTGAATCGTGGGTTATCTGCAGTACTTTGCTACTGAAGTTTTGTGGGTTTTTTTGTGATTTGTGTGAGAAGTCTCCTCTTTTTTTTTTTTTTTTTTTTTTTTGTTTGTGAGAAGTCTACTCTTAATGAAATAGGTGACACAGAGAGTTCTTCTTATCCTGTCCTCTAAGAAAACAGACTGTTGTGTATTCTGTGAAGGACTCAGAACATAGCTGTACTTGTTTATAACTGGATGGAAGTATTATGCCTTGTCCATAGTTCTTTAAAGTTTAAAAACACACAGATTCTTTCTTTATATTCAGAAAGGAAATATAATCTGACTTCTCACCATACAACAACAGATCATATTCCTGAAAAGAAGTTTAAATCTGAAGCTCTTCTATCTACCCTTACATCAGATGCATCTAAGGAAAATACACTAGGTAAGTTTATTATCTTAAATATGAATTTTGCTTTTTGTTTCTGTTAAAATAAGGGGAAATTAAAGCGTTCGGGATTAACGAAGCTTACAGATTTTTTACTTGGTTAAAGTCCACATGTGGGAAAAGAAGAAAAAGGAAAAATGGAACATGAAAATTTTATAGTGGCGTGAAAATGTTAAATTTAACGATTATATCTGTACTGGGAAATAATGTATTTTAAGCTCACTAACATTATGTTCTCTCCAACCATTCTTATTTCTTCTTTAATTCTACATAGGGTGTCGAAATAACAATTCTACAGCCTCTTCCAACAATGCTTACAACGTGAATTCCTCCCAACCTCTGGCATCCTATAACATTGGCTCATTATCTTCAGGAACTGGTGCAGGGGCAATTACCATGGCCGCAGCTCAAGCCGTTCAAGCCACAGCTCAGGTAAAAAGGAAGAGGTTTGGAAATAGGTACATTTTGTCTGAATCATTGGCAAACTTGAATAGAAACAACTAGATGTGAACAGAAAGAGTTTTTTTACGTTGTGTAGTTCCATTTTTAAATCATGGTCTTACGGTATCTGATATGAATATTTAATGAAATGAATATGCATTAATTTACCTGATTGATAATGAAAAGTGAAAAATAGTTTCGTGCAATCTCATGCAGAGCCCTTCACCCAGTAATTGCTCATGATGTGCATAGACTTGACAGTGAGCCACAGCACCTGCTAGGAGAGCACTCTGTTCTCTCTGCTGGTTTCGGGGTTTCTTCAATAGCCTCAGGACTTAGATTGCCAAATTAATATATTCCAAATTAAGTTGCCCACTCTATAGTCACCTCCTAACTGTGTAAAAACTGATTTTAAATCTTTACATAAAGTAGCTTAAATTACAGTGATGAAAATAATGGCTTAAACAAAATAATACTGGATAACCAACATAATATTATAACTAGTAGGACTGAAAAAGAAAGTCTGCATACTTATGTTTATTAATATTCTCCATGAATGTCTATTTAAGATGAAAGAGGGACGAAGAACATCAAGTCTAAAAGCCAGTTATGAAGCGTTTAAGAATAATGACTTTCAGCTGGGAAAAGAATTTTCAATGCCCAGAGAAACAGCTGGCTATTCATCATCTTCAGCACTCATGACTACATTAACACAGAACGCCGGTTCATCAGCAGCCGACTCACGGAGCGGGAGAAAGAGCAAGTAAGTTTGATCATTACAGTAGCCCCATGCCTTTACTAAGTATGCAGGCTACTTGGTACCCAGCTGGGCTTCCGTATATTAAACACAGGTAGCATATAAAGGATCAGGGTGACCTTTAGGGAAGCAGGGAGACATGACATTTTCATCCACACTGCCCTACTTTGGAGGAGTAAAGTCTTTAGAAGACGTTAAGTGTCTTTAATCTTTCTAAAGTCTTACATTGGGTATAAATGACTTCTGTTTACTTTCTTTCGTTCCCTAGGATAAACCATTTTATGGAACTTTTTTCATCTATGATCCCTTATTTTATCATGTGTTTCAATGTAAATTAATGCATAAGACACAAATTTTATCCTGGGAGTTTTTTTGAATAAAATTATTCACTTTTATTAAAAGTAAATTATCTTCCTTCATTCTTGGTCTTATGCCCCCAAAACTGAAATTATGAAAATATCTCTAGATTGAGTGTATGAGACTCTAAGGAAGATTGTCTGAATTTTAAATATGAAAACTTAACAGCATTCGGCGCCACCTGTCCCAGGTGTCTGCGTTTGGTAGGTGTTCTGCCATCATGGAAGTTCTGAATGGTAGGCCAGAAGAATAGGTTACCTAGTAATTGCATCATAATTTATTTTTAAATGTATTCTATTTTCTGTGGGTAAATCTCTAAAAGAATGATCAATGTAAAATCAACACAAAAGTGCTAGATATCCTAAAAAATAATTCATCTTAGTGACCCAAATTTATTATAACTGCCCATGATAGATTTCCCTATTTTTAAAATTTAATTTTAGCATATAAATAATAGTAAATTGCTTGTGAATTTTAACACTCTGTTTCCTATCTAACACAGGTAAGTATTCACATATTGACAGATGGTCATGATCATTTTCATCAAATGCTTTTGTGTATTTGTATATATATTTTTTTATTTAAATTCAAGTTAGTTAACATACAGTGCAGTCTGGCTTCAGGAGTGGAACCCAGTGATTCATCTCTTACATATGCCACCCAGTGCTCATCCCAATAAGTGAGAGCAAACGGGATTGCTGGAGGGGAGGAGGGGGGGCGGTTAAACAGGTGATGGGCATTAAGAAGGACACTTTTTGGGATGTGTATTTGTATTTTATATTTTGATGAAGAGTATTCACTTGGCTTAAAAATACAAAGAATGGGGCGCCTGGGTGGCTCAGTCGGTTAAGCGGCCAGCTTCGGCTCAGGTCATGATCTCACGGTCCGTGAGTTTGAGCCCCGCGTTGGGCTCTGTGCTGACAGCTCAGAGCCTGGAGCCTGTTTCCGATTCTGTGTCTCCCTCTCTCTCTGCCCCTCCCCCGTTCATGCTCTATCTCTCTCTGTCTCAAAAATAAATAAACGTTAAAAAAAAAAAAATTAAAAAAAAAATACAAAGAATGTCTCTAAGGTAGCCATAACTAATATTAATTCTTAAAACTATTACCTATAATTTAAGTCAATGCTACGTAGTAACTGATTAAAAAATTATTTTAAAAACCAAGATATGCTGAGTTTTTTTAATATCTTTATTCTCCAGAAAACAAAAAAATATAAAAAAAAAAGAAAACGGTTATGAAAGATAATTGCTCTTTGTTGCTATCAACAATTATGCTTTCAAATATGTTTATCAGGTTAGTTTAACTTTACGTTAAATGTTAATTTATACATTTGATGTTATTTCATGTCATACCACTCACTTAGGAGTTACTCTCACGTAATTTCTTTTGGATGCTGAGCAAATAGATCTGATACTGTTCTTTCAGAAACAACAACAAGTCTTCAAATCAGCAGTCCTCCTCCTCCTCCTCCTCCTCCTCTCTGTCATCGTGTTCTTCTTCATCAGCCGTCGTCCAAGAGATGTCTCAACAGACAACAGTGGTACCAGAATCCGATTCAAACAGTCAGGTTGATTGGACTTATGACCCAAATGAACCACGATACTGCATTTGTAATCAGGTAAAAGCATAATCTGAATCAAATAGAAGAAAGGGAGCTATTTCAATTTTTTAAGTGCTCTTTTTTTCCCCCAGTTAAAACACTTTTGCTTTCTTGTGTAAGGAATGTAATAGAATGTGTAAGTCACCCATAATCTCAGCCCCCGGATACAGCCTGTAATTAGACATTTTGATTTATCACTGCCATACACCCCACAAGCATGTTGTCTTAGTCTGCTCAGGCTGCCGTGACAAAATACCACAGACGGGGCGGTTTAAACAGCAGAACCCTATCTTCTCACAGTTCTGGGGGCTGGGCTAGTGTCAAAGTGCTGACCGATTCCATTCCTGGTGAGGGCTCTTTTCCTCGCTTGCCAAGGGCCACCTTCGTGTTGTAGCCTCACATGGTAAAGAGAGCACTGGTGTCTCTTCCTCTTCTATAAGGGCACCAGCCCTACTGGATTAAGATTCCACGCATATGGCTCATTTTCACCTTCATTGCCTCACAGACCCTATCTCCAAATACAGTTGAGGGGAAGGGATACAACACAAGAATTTAGGGGAGAGGCACAAACATTCAGTCTCATACACATATGTACACACAGATGTGCAGATACACATGTGCATGTATATGTTTGTGTGTATGTGTATATATGTGTGTGAATTTGACCAGTTGGAGTCACAGTATATTCTTTATGTAACACTTTTTCACTAAGTCATATGTACTGAGCATCATTTTTAAGTAATTTTTTTAATCTTCTCACAGTTATCTGTTAGGCTGTGTGTAACTTTTTAAACCAATGGTTAGCTATATGTCTTTTAGTGGCTTGAATTCTTTTGAAGTTACAAATAATGTTATGGTAGACATTTTTTAAATGTTACCCATTTTATACATGTATTTCTAAGATAATCTTTTAGAAATAAAGTTAAGTTAAAATATTTGTTATAGACTACCAAATTATCTTCTGGAATTCATTACCAAAAATTGGTGAGCGTGCCTGTTTCCTTAACCCGGTCCAACACTGGATATTATTCTGTCTTGAAAACCATGTACCAATTTGATAGTTTTATATCACAATCATTTCAATTTACGTTAGTAGTAAAATTGGACCCTTTTTGGCCATTTTTATTTCTTCTTTTATGAATTGACTCTTAATGGTATTGGCCGATTTTTCTATCATTTTTGTCTTGTACATTAAGAATGCTTTGCGGTTTATTTTTTTTATTTTTTTATTTTTATGTATTTATTTTTTTAGTTTTGAAATTCCAATTTTATGGAGTAATGACTCAGTCTTTATGAAGTCAGCCATGGGTTATATGCTTAGGAGGCCTTTTTGCTTTTTTTCCCCTTATAAATGTGTCTTTTATTTTTTCTTATTTGCAAATGGCTTTGTCTAGCTCTTGATATACTTTAGTTTCTTCACATTTAAATCTTTAATCTATCTACAATTTATTGTGTTTAATGGTGTGAGTTGGCAATCTAATTTTTGAGAATTTGCCATTAAAGAGTTTGTTAGTTTTTGTACTGTCACCTGACAAACTTTTTTTTTAAGTTTATTTATTAATTTTGAGAGAGACAGAGACAGCACAAGTAGGGGAGGGGCAGAGAGAGAAGGAGACAGAATCCCAAGCAGGCTCCACACTGTCAGTGCAGAGCCTGATGTGGGGCTTGAACTCACGAAACCATGAGATCATGACCTGAGCCAAAATCAAGAGTCAGACTCTTACCTGACTGAGTCACCCAGGCACCCCAAACATTTTTTAATATCAGTGATTAAACAAAGAAAATTGTGTAAAAATCCTGTCAGTTAAAGTAGCTTACCTACAAAAGAACAAAATCAGATTCACCCTAGATTGCCTATCTGTAACACTGGAAACTAGTTAAGTTGATGCAATATATCTGTAGAGCTCTAAGGGAAAAATCTGGGTGCCCCCCCAAAATTGTTACCCAGAGAAGTCATTCATGTGCGTACAACCATATACAGATACTCTCACTAGTGCAGAGAATCAGTATACCCTCTAGTTATAACCCTGTCTGAAAAAATGTTTTGGTCCATTAAGAACATAAGTTAATTCAAGAATTAGGAAATTATATTATAAAGTGCTGGTGATGAACAGCAAAAAGAAAAATGAGAAAGGGCAGATAGTAAATTTATAATAAGTTTAGAAGTTTCGACCATTGACTGCAAAAATATAAATGACCTAATGACCCAAGGAAAAGTAAAAACCTTAAGTAAGTAAGTAACCAAGAAAGAAATGTAAACTCTTTGTAAAAGAAAGCACACACAAAGATAGTCTGTCGAGGTTCTTTCATACGTTCCAAGAGCACATAATTTCTGTGTATTTCTCTCTGTCCCTCTGCCCCCCAAAATCTTTTAGTAAAAAGCTCTAAATTATATAAAATCTTTATTAAAAAAGTTATATACTCTATTTTTTAGTGCAATTGAGTATATGGTATATTTCCATCTATTTCCTAACAGTATCATAAACCATTAATTTGGATTTAGATGCTTGTCATAAGTCATAATAAAAAATATTTACTTTTATTTGAACTAGGTATCCTATGGTGAGATGGTGGGCTGTGATAACCAAGATGTAAGTATTAAATTTTTTCTGTTTGGGAATGAAAAAAATAACAAATTATTATTACTTGACTATTTTTCTTATTTACTGTATCACTGAGTTTAAGAACACAGGTTTGCAGTTATGTTAATTACATATTAATGCTAGAATATTTCTCTGCAAAACAGGTAATGTCCCTTAATGTGTTCCCAATGTAAGTTTTTTTAAAGCTAGTTTTATGGTTTCATGTGCAGATTATAATTCTCAAAAAGTGTTACATTGTATGAAAATTAGAAACACTCTCCACCCCCTTTGCTAAATAATACAGTGTTTACTAGAATCCAGTTCACCTATTACGGTGAAGAACTAGAATTTTAAGACAGTGCATTTTGTCAGGAAGCCCGCGGCCAGGGGTTGGGGTGGAAATGTTGAGGCTGTGATGTGAAGATATTTTCCTCCTGTCAGTATAGTACTTCCTGTTGTACTCTGCAGCTGTCAGCTGATAAGAGCCACTTCTGGTATAAAAAGTAAAAGAGGTTTGAAAGAAAAGAATTCCTATGTCTTTTTTAGGAAGCTTAATTCTGGTTAGAGATCTGTTTCTATTGGATGCTGAGAATATTTCTTCTAGTAATTTTATTCCCTCCTTACTGTCTCAAACTTCCAGCCCCCCTCCATTTATCTTTTCCTGCAGAGGGGTAACGGAACCCTGAATTCTAAAGAAGTACTAATCCATAATGTCAGAATCCTGAGGTTAATCAACAGTTTACACAATCTGAAGATTGAACAGGGTTGGCTTGGTGTGCATTAAAGTTTGTACTTTCCTGACATGACAGGGTCACCCCAACAGCATGTTCACATAGATGGAGACAGACTGTCCTCCTTCCCTCTTTAGAATCACTTGTGGGCTGTTTGTGATTATTGTAGAACAGTATTGCCCGATCATTTCAAGAACGGCGTTGTAAAGTCCTGGGGCACTTAGTGAAGATGATGCATTTCCATGACCGCCCCGTTGTACTCTCTGATCCCTCTCACTCCCAGGCGTGCCCTTCGAGTGCTCAGATCTCCTGTGCCCGTGTGCAAGTGCTTAATGTGCTGCAGAGTAGAATACTTCTCCTCTGCATGTCTAGGCATAGATCTACCCAGAGAGGAAATCCAGGGTATCCCTTCATGTTTTGCATTGCAACCAGCTTATTCTACTTTATAAAGCAGTGAATAATGCTGAATATTAAATAAAATCCGTAAAATATATTTGCCTTTTTTGTGACCCATCTTACTTCTTGCCCTTGAAAGTTGGTATCCTCCAGTTTAACGAGAATTAGTGAATTTTTGTTCGTTTGTTACTTGGGATTATGAAAAGGGATTATATGAACCTCCGAGTTAACAAAGATGCATGCTTTTTCTGTGTCTCCATTTCCTCGTCTCTGAAACTTAACCAGTTGGATTCAATGATCTGTAAATCGGCTCCTTGATCTAAAAGTTCCGTTTCCATGAATCTAATAATACGCAGTCTAGTGGGCATATTTCAGCGTATTCTGTAATCTTTAGAGGTCTGAACGATTTCTCTGCAATTTTGCCTTCCAGTGCCCTATAGAGTGGTTCCATTATGGGTGCGTTGGGTTGACAGAAGCTCCAAAAGGAAAGTGGTACTGTCCTCAGTGCACCGCCGCTATGAAGAGGAGAGGCAGTCGGCACAAATAAGGGTGGTCATTTCATGTGAGCAAGGAAAAACTTCAACTAAATGTTTTATATGGGACTTTAAAACAGAAGAAAAGAGAAAAGAGAAACAATGCATTTCCAGGCAACCACTTCAAGGATTTACATAGACAATCCTGTAAGATCTTGAACTTGAATTTTATGGGTTGTATTTTAATAATGTAAGTAAATTATTTATGCACTCCTGGTGTGCTACGAATATTATTCCAGTTAGCCTTGGATTCTTTCAGTGGCCAACATATGCAGACATTTGTACTCCTCAACCAGTTTCTCAAAGTAATGGGCATTCTATAATTTAGACTTCAGAGAATTCCAACGATGAAGATTTTAAGAAAAGCATTTTATATTCAACAGGTATGTTCTGCTGCATGTACTGTACTCCAGAGCTGTTATGTAACACTGTATATAATGGTTGCAAAAAAAAAAAAAAAAAAAAAAAAAGTCAGTGCTTCTAAAAAGAATTTAAGATAATGGTTTTTAAAATGCCTTTATAATAAGCTTTGTTTCTTTGTGAAACTAAATTCAGCAGGCTGAAGGAAATGGTTCATGTGATAAAGTGGGCTGGTGTCCTCTAGAGTACCTGGGTACATAAACAGAAACTCCTGTAGGTAAAAACGAATCTGTGCCATTAGTCTTTATATGTTTCTGCATCCAGATAGAGTGCAGTTCATGGGAGGGGAGGGGGGGGCGGGGGAGGGGCTGAAGGGCAAAGGGTGTTAAAGTGATACATTTTTATACCAAATGTGTTTATTTTTTTGTGCAAGTAATCCTTAAAATTGGAATTGTATTAGGTGTTAAAATAAAGTTTTTAAAAAATTACTTGTATTTATACTTTACACACTCAATAAGGAAAATTTCTTAATTCCAATTAACTTCCAGTTTTCCTAATCTAAAAAGGACAGAGGCCCAGGACACAGAATGCTATGTAATCTGTGATTTCTTAAACAATGCTTGGAATTCGGGACGTAAAAATAAGGGAAAGACATTTTTAATGTAAATTTGAAATGCAAATGTATTTTTCTAGAACATCTCTCTGGCTTTTCCTTCAGTCTAAGGGACATGAAAACAGTCTAATTATAGTAGATAAAATAGAAATAATGGTTATAGATGTTTTGACTTTAGGCAGTGTGGCCAATTTAAATAAAGAGACCTCCTGGATTGGAGCTTAAAATTCAGTTCTATTTCCGATACTACCACATATTGGTATGACAGTTCATTCAAATTTTGAATCACTCTGGGCCTTATTAAACCAGGGTGATGCTGGCTGCAGGATGTCTGTAAAGCACTCCTAAGGTTTTATTCTATAGGTGCTATTTAAATTATAAATTTTGCATAGTGGAGGTTTTATTTCAGGTATAATATCAAGTCTGGTTGGTAGAAAAATCCTTAAAACTTTAAAAGTACTTATTACATCATATTTCTTTTATGTTGAAACTTATGGGTCCATTAGATTTCTGCTTTAATCAAAACCACTTATGAGCCTCTTAGAACTTTTTCAGAAGTCTATAAAATCTATGCAATGCTACCCAAAGGGTATGGATTAGGTAGGGGATTTCAAAGGTCTCTTTTAGCTTCACGAATCCTCAACTCTGAGCAACTCTGAGCTGTTGCAGAGTGATTTTATAGCTGGAAAGCCCCTAAAACAAAGTAGGTTCATTTGTGGGTATTCATGATTTCACGATATCATAAGTATCATGATTTCGTAACACTCAGTATTTTCATGGAGATATTATAAACCTTTAAGAAATAATATATTAACGTAGCATTCAGTTAGCTTATTAGCATGTTGCCTGGAGATGCTCTGTGGTATTGTTCAATCTCCTAATTCTATATAATGACTTTTCCAAGTTACTCATTTTCCAGGAATTGGTCAAAGGAAAAAGCCTTATGTACAGCCTTATTTTAAGAGAAAGTTCCTTGTCGGAGTCAGGAACATCCCCCATTTCCAGCTGCTGCAACCCCTTTCAGTGTGTGAATTCCACTAGTTACCAAATCATTTAGAAAACATTTTGACAAAACTTAACCTCAAACATTGAATATTTTATGAAGCATCTATAAAGAAGCAAATGAAAATTTTGTTCGGTTATTTAGCAATTGGTGGAACCAGTTAGTATCTAAGATATTTTATATATGTATATGAATAAATGGGCCAAACGTGGAACTACCTCCTCCAAAAAAAAAAAAAAAAAAAAAAAAAAAAAAAAAAAAAAAATGTGGCCAACTATTAATATACTTTGAGACGCTTAGGCCAAGGGGTGTGATAAGCATTTTTGCTATTACAAAATACACATTCAGACTCTTTGTTGTACAAAACTCATGTAATAATTGGTGACACAAAGAATCCAAATGTGGGTTCACATTTTATAGGTGGTGAAAATTGAGGCCTTACTGCTATGAAGTGTACATTAAAATGTTCATGGTGACACATTTGAAGCAATAAACGGCTTAATTAAATGCCTAAATGAAGCTGAGTGTTTGATAAACATACATACCATCATTCTTTCAAGGGCAGTTCATGTTTTTTTTTTTTCTTTGCTCTTTTCTACTTTAAAGCAAATTCCACATATTTCAGATTTTTAACCGTATTTGGTTTGCGCATTGTTACAGCCCTTTGTCCTTAGATCTCAGAAATGGGCTTCTTGATCTAATTAATTATACTAATGTTAGAAAAACAAATGTCTAATACACCTGGGTTGTGAGAGGTGAGATACTCTGTGTAGACATTGCAGTGTTTTCCTTCAACTCACATTTTTGAAAGAAATCTTTAACAGATGGGTTTAAGAGGAAACGAATAGCCTCAAAAACGTTTACTTTTATAATTTTACAAACACCGAGCACTTAGATATTGAGAACACACAGATGAAGGTATCCGGGTGTGGGTGTGGGAAGGACGAGCATGTTAACACGGAACTGCTGCACTTTGATGGGTGCTGCGATGGATGCACAAAGCATTGTGGGAAACCGGGGGACTTAAACACAGGAGGTTTCATTTGAACTGATTCCTAAAGACAGATGATGTAAGGGAAGGTTTTCATGGCAAAAGGAACCGTTCAAGGGCCACTACACTCCCGAAACTTAAAAAATAGTCTGGGCAGAGTGGACGTCGCGAAGGGAGGTGGAGGGTCAGAGAATAAAGCCAGAAAACTGAGCAACAGTTGAAACGAGCATTTTACACAATGTCCTAGAATTGTTTGTTTAATGAGGGTAGTGGTGGCATTTACATATTGTTGTCTAAATACATTCTTATTTTAGCAATTTAATGAAATTATAGCACTTTTCTTATTTTAATGTAGGGATGACACAAGTAGCCTATAACTTGGAAATTGCTAAAAAAAAAAAAATTCTAAAGAATCTTTTTTCCTAGTTTTTGAAACTACAAATTAGAATTGCTAGTGAAGATTTTTGTTTTCCTCAGATGATAAAATCTACATTACTCAAGACTGTAATTTCCAACCCAGGATCTTAATATTCATGATTTGAATCTGCTCCAGAGAAATAAAGTTTAAAGTGACTTAAAGATGAACTGACTTCAGAATTGTTTTCTTTTTTGATTTCAGCTTGATATAAAAAAAGAGGTATACCCCTCCTTGGCCCTTTCCATTTTAAAGTAGTAAGTATATATACTTTACAAGTCAGTATTTAACTAATAAATTATTAGGCATATTAAAATGTTTATTTGGAAAAAAAATTAATTTCTTAATAAATTCTTCAGAGCCACATGATTCAGTTTTTGGTTAATCCAGAACCACCTTTTACTTTCTTTGTTTCTGGCAAAGGAGAATATTACGATCCTTCACTTTTCCGCTGCTTATTAAGAACTCAGAAGCCAATGTGGGAAATGAGGTCCGCAATGTATTATGCTTATGTGTGTGTTGCTTATTCCCAGCCTCCATTTCTACTTACCTGTGTTAATGAATAAGAATAGTGTTCCTTAGGAAAGTTATAACTTCTAGTCTTTAATGGTGAAGTACTTTGAAACATTCGCAAGTGTAACATCAGTGGTAGGGAACAACAGTGGTCATATTTGAATTCTTCTTGCGTTGTTAAATCTAATCCAGTAGAGGGACCCTTCATGCTAATACATTAAAACAAGAACAGTTGTAATAGGTACTAAGTTACTTTTCAAAGCTGCTCAGGTTACATGTAGTATAAGAGGCCAGCCAGAAATATTTCTGAATAATCCTGAACATAAATATGAGTTCATTCAAATTTTACTAATATTTTACTAATATTATAACTAATGTTATGACTAGCCAATAGAAAGTTTTAGTGTAACTGATTTTACCAATATTATGACTAGTTAGTAGAAAGTTTTAGTCTGACCTCCCCAGTAGTTCTCATTAGAACTTTTCAAAATTTATGTTCATATATCCTTGCAGCACCTTTTATATTTATCTTTAGTATGAGAAGTGACTATTTTTTTGAATGGGTTTCACAAGTGTGCCAAAAGATGTCTTCACTTCACCAGTGCTTATCATTTATAAATGTTTGAAAGAATCCAGTTATCTGTTGAAAACAAAAAAATAAGCTTATATATTAGTGATCATATGGTTTACATATAGGAGTAATCTTTTGAATTTATGTGGTATACATGTGACCCAAGAACCATGCTCTATCAAAGAATGTGTCCTTACCCACTCAGAGTAGCTAAATGATTGCCATTCTTCACTGGAGTGATAAGATAAAACCTACCTCATGACCATCCCCTATCACACATCAGTTTTTTAGGTAGTAAGTTTGATGCTCTAAAAATTTCAAAATACCTTTTATTTTCTGAAAATAAGAATGAATGATTAAATTGTAATTACATTTTAAAAAAGAAACAAACTATGTCACTATCTTGAGACAATTTTTTGAATGTATTATGGTTTCCAGGTAATATTATATTGCAGGTTTACAGAGAATACAGATGAGATTTCTAACTGAGTTAAAGAACATAATTTGATACTATGTTACAAGAAACAAAAGCTAAAATTGTTGTTTTATAGAATGATAGATTAAAACTTAGGAATACTGGCTGCATGCCACGGTGTAAATTTGTGCCCTAAAGAAAGTAAAACAAATAGTGTAATTCATTGGATTAAATGTTTGCCAGTCTACCTGTGTGCTCACTGATTGAAATGATCCTCTCTTCCTTCCTCCCTCTCCCCCTCCCTCCCTTCCTATCATGCGTTCTTTCTTTTTTCTTTTTTCTAGACTGTGTGCATAAATATGTATATGTGTGTGTGTGTGCACATATATCTACATACATGAATATATGGTCTTTTAGAGGATGCAAATCTTCAAAACAAATTAGAGAGGCTTAAAAGAAATTATATGGGCAAAGTTGCATTTATTTGGGGAAGTGGTATAATTACACATTTAGGAAGTGGTTAAAATCCCAATGTCATTGCCACAAGCTGCT